ACCTTCTAGTTTATATTTATTTCTAAGATCTCCTAAAATTAAAATATAATCTCTATATGGTGGAGTTTTAAAATTTTCTTCGTGTACTATACCATCTAATATTCTAATAATTCGTCCACCGACTTTAACTATTTCTTGAATATCGACCGATGTTAAAACATGTGAACAGAAACCATGTCTAACCTGATTTTAGTGCCAGTTTCCTTTTTTCCTTCTTTATTTGTGTAAGTGATTTTATCTTTAGCTGGTATTGGTTGGAAGAACATGTTGGTAAGATATTTAAACCACACTGTTAAAATAGCAGTTCTAGGTCTAAAGTTCTGTTCATTGAAGAGTTTTACAAATTATTTTTCTTCTTCTGGTAGAAACGGTCTAACACTTTCTGCTTTTGGATATTCACTGTCTAAATCCGACATTGCTGAAGCGTACAAACCATTAGCATCAAATGCCATTAGTTTATTGCAGTTTATTTTTTTTTAAGTTTTGAATTAACTTCTGTTTTGTCTTTTATGCTTGTTTCGGAGCCATTCTAGTAGTTTCATACCATTCTTCTTCAACCATTCCTTTATCGTAATGATACAAATAATACCAACCCTTAAAAGATAAAGCTGGAGCCGTTAGATTATTGGACATATTTTGGTTTACAACGTCTTTCGTGACTTGGTTATATTTTATTAAATAACTTCCAAGATATAACGTATCTCTTTTTGCATATTCTTCCCATTCGTGTCTTAAAGATTTCCAGTTATCTTTGGTGTATTTTGCAACTCAAATTCATTGGTAGATTAGATGAATTACCTCATGTCGCTAAACCAGATGTTTCATGTTGATAGGAACATGTGAAATTAATATGTTGTAAATAATTATTATTGCTTGTTAATTCTTTCTGTCTTTACCATTTTATCTGTAAATCTTCATCTGTGTATGGATTAGATAAAGGTAAAGATAGAATTCCTCTGGGTGTTTTTAAAGGGCATTGTGTTAGTTTTTTTTTTATATTTTTAAGCACGATCCAGTTATCAAAACTGCTACCGTTATGAGAAATTAATATTAATCTCTTTCTATCATATTGACCTAAATATTTCAATATTTGATCTATACAATCTGTACCTACAAATATTTCTACTATATTCATTAGTTTATCATAAAATTCTTCTGGAACATGATCTGTAGGATTTAAATCTGGAAAGAGATTATTTATTCTGTCTAACATTTTTCTTAGTTTTTCTAAATTAATTAACGTACACGCATAAGGAATTGCTTTACGCGTTTCACTTTCTGAATATGTTTCACAATCCCAAGCAAATAACCCACCATCACTCATACTTAAAAACACGTTTAGTTTCAGAGGTGAAACCTGTGTTACTGCGTTATTGTCTCTACACGTTTTCCATTCTTGTTTTATTTCTTCAATACCCAAACTTGTTTTGTTTCTTCTGAGTTGTGTAAATATAAAACCCAATCTTATTCCTCTTTTACAATTGTGGGGCGCAAATTTCTATTATTATGAGTATAAATTTGAAATGAAGTATCACATTCCTTATTGAATTCATTAATTCTAGCAGATGTCATCACTCCTTTTCTATTTGCTTTTGGGAAACCATTTATGAAATTTTGAAATTCATTTGTTAAATCTTTGTTTAAAACATAGTTTACACATTTGATAAAACAGTTACCATCTGTTGGTATGTAACAATTTTACCTATTTATTTTTTTGAGTAGTTCAGTTCCTCTTCCAACTTTTGATCTTTTAATTTCTTAAAAATTGTCTTAAGTAAAATGATACTTCCTGTAAAGTACCAATCAGAAGGGTCAGATTTTTCTTCCATATTTCTAAAGATAGTATGAAAAGTTTTGGCATTAAAACCAAGAAGTTTCATAAATTGTTTGTGCTTTCCATCTTGAAATATCTCTCCATCTATTTCAATTTGTCTTTTAAATGTTAAAAAATTATCAGAAATAACCTTGATAATATTTGAAAATAACACGTTTTCTATGAATGTTTCATCATCATTAATTTCAATTGATTTATTCATATTTTATATATATGCTTTTTTAATTATCTATTTTTTAAGTATTTTTTTTTCTTTTAGTGCTGATATTTCCATCTCAAATTTTTCTAAAATTTCATTGAATTCTTCTAATTCTTCAATGTTATGTTCTTATCTTCTCTTGATCTTTCGAAAAATATAAAAAATTTATTAAGATGGGCATTTAAGATTTCTGTTTTCTTTTTATAATGAGATTTCTGTTTTGATGTATAACATATAGCAATCAACTCACAAGATGATGTTTGAACGACAGTGAAGGCGGCTAATACAGTTGGAACAAGTACTGGAACCATTAATCCACCAGTTACAGCCGTTCCAACTGTTGTTCCTACTGTTAGAACTACATGACTACACTCAGTGTTTTGAAAACAGAATCAACTCTAATCCTTTTTTTCTTACATTTATTATATTGTTCTAGTTTTACTTTTAACTTGTTTTGTTTGTCTATCATATATTGTTGTCTACTTTCGAGTTCCATTTTTAAAAATTAAATTAAGTGAATTTCTGATAACTTAAAAGTTGGATATTGTTCAATATTTACAATAAAATGCCCTCTAATCTCTATACCTTGTATTATTTTTGTTTTATCTGTTATAATTACTTCGGGTTTAAAAATAGTAACTTTTACAGATACTAATGATGTTTCTTCTTTCGAATCATTAATCTAAATCAGATGAACTGTAAATTTTGGTTTTTCAATATTGATGTCTATAATACATCTACAAGTATATATACCACCAACTTCTTTATTATGAATGACGTTCAATTATTGATGAAAATATTATAAATTCTTTATCTTGTTGACTTTTGTGACTATCAATTGAGGTAAATAAATTATCAATGTTCTTAAAATGTACAACTCTTTATTGCATCAGTAGTATAAGGCCTTTCAATATGGTCGCGCTTCCATTTCATTCCATGGGGGAAAAGTGCAACCATATTGAAAAGCCCCCCAAAAAACCTAAACACCCTACATTTCATAAATTCTTACACCAGAAAAGACCTATACACCCTACATTTCATAAATTCTTACACCTATACACCCTACATTTCATAAATTCTTACATTCCATCAACCCCCACCCCAAAAAACCTATTTACCCTAAATTAAACGAAAAAAAGCATATTAAAAATACTTTTATATAAAATAACTTCCTTGTTTCGCTTAACTAACATCCGGTTTTTTAATAGCCTTGTTTTAAATAATGTTATTTTTAGCCTAGAAACTTCTAGGAGGAATATAACTCTTTTTTTGGAGGAAAAAAACAGACCACAATTTTCTACTCAAAGTTTAAACCTTAAAAATGGCAAATAAAAAACTAGATCCAATCTTTAGATAATACGATCCGATTCGTTATTCATTTAACAAGAAAAAAGAGGATTATATTACCATCTCACCGACTGTTGGTTCTAAATCCCAATTGAATGGTGGTGGAAGAATTACCTTCGAAATAAATTCATTATCGAATTGGTTGCTTCTTTCCGATGCTTATTTCAGATGCGATTTCAAAATTAAAGATGGAACTCCCAATGAAAATCGTGTACCACAAACTAATACAACGTTAGAAAACAATTTCTTTCCATCTTTACTTAGCGAGATGGTTTTGGAAGCTGGTTCAAATCCGATAGAAACAATTAAACACCCTGGGGAATTCGACATAATGTTGAAAACAGTTTTATATCCTAAAGATTTCGAATCAGTCTCAGATTGGATACCCGATGTTGGCGATGGAAGTGTTTTAAAAAAAAACGGTAAGAAATGTTCCAAATGATGCTGATTTAGCTAGAGTACGAGTTGTTGCTCGAAACACGATAGAAAGAGTAGCACGAGCATCTAATCGTGGATTCGAAAAACGAGTACTTCAGTATAATAATGTTGTTGAGAATGATAGGTGGGGTAATTACGTAAATTGGAAATTATATCCTTTATTCGGTCTGTTAGAACACAGAAAGGTTTCCATAGGGTTATAAAATTCATCTACAAAGAGAAATCAACGATGATAAGATATTCTTTGGAGAGAATGCTTCAAATACAAAATTAGAAAAAACGAATCTCCAACTTTTCATACCCGTAATAACACCATCAATTGAAGTAGAAACGAGAATATTCAACTCATTAACTAAAGATATTGAAATAGCTTTTCTTCATCGTAATACGGTAAGTAGCATGACTTTAACTGGAGAATCCACCACATGGCCAATCACTAACACTATTAAACCAGCAAGATATTTAATGGTTGGTTTTAAGAACTTACCAGATTCTCAAACGAATAACAATAATGTCTTCAGAGTGGCAATGATCCTTTAATCCATAAAGTTCAAGTAAGATTAAACAACGATAATTATCCTAACCAACCTTAAACAATTAATCCAACCACAAAGGATTATAATGAATTGTATTAAAACTATAAAAAACATGTGTGAATTATTTGCAAAAGAAGGTGGATTTGTACCTCTCCTAACTTTGATTTATATGGTGGTATTGCAGCGGCTGTTGGAATAACAAAAGCCGTCATCTCAAATAAAGCAGCTAAAGCAACAGCTGCCGAAGAACGCAGACACAATTTAGAAATGGAAAAGCAAGAACGAGATTCAGGAGTGACAGATATATTAGGTACAGTTAAAGAATTTGGAAAACGATTTGGGGAAGAAACCAAGAAAACTGTTAAACAAGGATTAAATAAATTAGTAGATAGTATTGACACAGGAGAAGTCAAAGTCAAACATAAGGGTAATGGAATATTTTTAAAAAACATACGCACTGGCGAAGGAATATATCTTTCAAAGTATAAAGAGTATGGAGTGATTTTTGGAACAAAATAAAATAAAAAAAAATGGGCAAAAAATCATCATTCAGAAATATTTCCTAATAACCCAATGCTCATGTTTATATGCGGTAGTTCCGGTTCTGGGAAAACTCATCTTACTTTTTAGATTTCGATTCTCTATATATCTACACAACAACACCAGAGCAATCGTATTATCAATTTCTCAAAGCTTTATAATATTTACCAAAGAAAAATGTTCAAGACGTATTTCAATATTACGAAGAAAACGAAGAAGAAGTGGAAATAAAAGATATCATAGATAACTACATTAAATCAAAGAATCCAACGGATATAAAAGTTTTTCTTACGAAAAATGTCAATGATCTAGACTTGTCTAATATTGATAGCAATCTAAAGAACTTAATATTGTTTGACGACTGCGTAGCGCAAAGAAATCAAGCTGTTCAACAAGAATTCTTCACGAAGGGAAGACATCACAACTGTCACTGCATATACCAATCCCAATCTTTTTACGGGATGGATTCTATGTTCATTAGAAAAAATGCAAATTGTTTTTTATTATTTGAATTAAACGATAAAGATTTATCTCAAATCATTCAGTCGATTAATCACGGAATGGACAGAGATGCATTTAAAAAGGTTTGTAAGGCTCAATGGAAAAACCCAGATGAACATGGATATATATTTGTTAATACTAGAAAACCTGCAGGTGAAAGAGTTATGACAGACATTTGTTAAATTTAATTTTTTTAAAAATGGATAATTGGAATAATATTTTAAAAAGAAATAAAGAATATATCAAAGCTAAGAATAAAATAAAGTCCCAAGTTGAAAAAAACAAATTAGAACAACTTGGATTAAAAGAAAATCCACAAACTCTATTTCAACAATATTAAAATCTCAAGAGGATATCAAAAAGAAATTAGCTTTAGAATATATACCTCCTATAGAACCCACACCTCCTATAGAACCTCATCACCCCAAAGCGATTGAATATGGTGGTATTATAATTAGGACAGTAGATGATGTAAAACATTATTTTTCAAACCCTCACCCAGATTTACCAAAGAGCATTTCACCAATCATTGATGAAGCGGGGGTACGGTTTAATGGATTTAGAATAAGATTTAGGGCAAATACCCCCGTATTTATAATCGATACAAAAGATTATATATACACATTAACGAGAGGATTAATAGATTTAATGAATGGCGAGGATGTTGTTGGTATTGTCGATTATAAGGATTTAGTAGCATACTCCAAATTTCTAGATGCAATAAGAAAGACGGGACCCGAAACAAGAAGATCGAAAGAAGTTCAACTATATAAAAGAGTAATTGAACGTGAGGAAGAGGATGTAGATGATTATGCAGAAGATTATCCAATCACAAGAGAAATAGACGAATTCGAAAATATGGTATATGGACAAGGTATAACGTTTTTATCCGACAACAACGAGGAACTACTTAATAGATTACGAGTAATATTAGCGGCAATAAAGGAAGGACATCGATCACACAGACAATTTAATGAAGTGAATTGTATACTAAAAAGACTCCTAGAGAAAGGTATTATAGATAAAAATGATTATAAAAGCGTAATTAAAAATGTCAAATAAAGAACAACTATTCGTTATCACCTGAAATAAATCAGACATTAAATTGTCTCTAGATTATGAGTACGAACTCGATCGCAATCAAGAATATGAATTGGGATTAAAGTATTTCTCTGTTTACAATTCCATTAGAAATATCAACGAAAAAAATAACCAAATAAAAATATCAATAGATAATGGATTTCGGGGAAGGGAGGGTTTCATTCTCCCAAATGTACAGGCCTAGGGTGGAGCAGACACTTTATCTAGAAATTAGGATTAAGGGTCTTGATATTGGGTTTTCTTCTGTTCTTATTCTGATCTGAAATTAGAAAAAATAACTCGCCCGATGGGCGAGAAGTATAGTATCTGTTATGTACTGATTGTTTTTAGTTTACTATGAACAATATTATCATTTAAGTTCTTATTTTTTGAATATGCAACTATCATTTTCTGCTTATAGACATGGGGGAATTTCTCTTGAAGGCTCTTATAGTGGGCATGAACTATCTTGCTTGCTCGATTGCTGGTTGTATTAAACGGGACAACAAAGGGTGCTATGCCTACATTATGATGAATATTTAGTCCTATAGGTCTTGCTGTATTCAATGTCTCAATCCAATGGGCCTCCCTAGATTGACGGAATTTGGTAGTTTCATCTTCGGGCAAGTCAATTTCTATACGCTCAATTGGGATTAGGGTGAGATCGTCTATTGAATGGTCGTCGAGGTTGAAATGATTAGAAACAGGCTTGTCTTTCTTTAATTTGATGTCTGACCTATGAGCATTAAAGCGAGTTCGTAAATTATTCTTAGTTTCTCCTACATATTGTTTGGGACATTTCTTGCATGANATTAAATATATTACATTCGA